AGCAATGATGCGGACTATGACGTAACTCCCTCTCTCTCTTGTGCTAATTGTTGAACCGATTAGACGTGTTTACCAATCCTCTGTTAGTCATTGTATTATTGTGATATATTATTGGCGACCACTAATAAACGTGCGGAATTTTACCATAGTGTTTCTGTGTTATCCGCAATCACAGATATGTAAGCCGCAGAAATACTATATATACGTGACATTTTCTTTTTCAGAATCAGTGACAACTCAGAGCATGGGTAGTACCAAAATGTGTGAGTAGATTTCTTTATGCCTCTCAGATCTGTAGACGTTTTTATTTCTAAATTGGCTAAGGTATTATGATGTTGCCCTGATTTAACGTCTACAGATTTAGTGATGCGTTACGTTCATTGTTCAATATTTTTAATATTTATTGTTACAGTTAACATATCGTTGTTTTTTGTGAAAAAAAAAGATTTTTTTATAACATTTTAATGTAACAACAAAATCAATTCCATATTCCTATCTATTGTTATATTGGTATCTACGGATGCAAAAACCTCCGAGACGACATAAGTCACAGACTCCTTGCTGATCACCACTCTGAAAACATTTGGGCATGCGACTCTTGAAAACACTACATACGAAAAGAACGTAATCGAGATGAATTTCGATAGAGTTCAACTTAAATTGTCAAAACAATCGATAAATAAACTTATAACAACTAATCGAATGTTGTTTTAGTCAACAAATATCGTAATTACGAGTTTACTTCAGAATAGTTCGTCTTTGACCATGGCCATGTTGACATAAACAACAACTCTCATAGTGAAAGTTGCAGACCGACGACGCCTTCAATTTGCACTTGTTTATTCAAATATTGAAGAACAATATGGAAAGTAAATATGAATTTGATGCTAATAAGGCAAGAGTTTGAGGTACGTTTCTTTTCCCTGTCAAAACGATACAGACTGAGCTTATTTTCTACGTATGAACAGCGATTTTTAAAATTCACACTCGTGATCGGACATTGACATAAATATTTTCACGGCGTCCATTAGTTAGGCAGTCTAGTATGTTGCCAGTTTTGTTTAAGCCCTAATTAAATTTAAAGTTTCTTGTATTCATTATTTAGCTAGAACAGACCCAGAAATAACTGCTTTCATTGTTTATACGACAACCTTGTAGTGTCATCAAGAAAGTAGTTCTGATTGAAAGAATTTATCGATGTGTAAAAATTTTCTGGAACGTGTTCTCGTCCAATCAAAACACAGGAAATCAATAGATAAAATGAAGATTGGAATTATGAATAAGTATATCCGAAAAAGTCTTGTATATTTCTTTATTAAAAAAAATTGGATATGATTTATTAAGCGATGTGTGTATTAACAAGAGGCCCACGGGCCTTATAGGTCACCTGAGTATTGTGCAACAACTTTCAAACAATTAAATTTGGTTCATGTTTTAAAACAGAATTCGCAATTCACAATTTTGAAAGAGGTACCATTGCTTATAATAAATTTGACTTAGCATGCTAACTCTATTTACTTAATATCCAGAGGTAGATCAGAGTAACATTAAGAGAAAATGCACTTCCACTTTATAACCAGTTGTACACCTCATCCCGAAGGAACAACTGATCCTGGGGCCACATATTTCAAAATTTTGCAAATTTTATCATAAAATGGTTGATTAACACACCAAAGAGCAAATTTCAAAGCATTAATTCATTTTCAGACTTTGTACACCCCCCCCCCCCTTCACCCCAACCCAGGGAAGGGGCCGGGGCACAAAAAATACCATTTTGCTAGATGCACCTTTCTTCATCATAAATATATATATTTAGATCATTGGCATTAAACACAGGAGCAAAGGAAAGTATTTAAAAGAATAAATGCATTTTCACTATATAACCAATAGAGCCCTGCCCTAACACCAGAACCCCTGACCCTGGGTCATAAAATTCACAATTTTGAAAGAGGCACTCTTGTTCATCATAACTATGTGCTTAGTTACTTTATTTAATACCCAGAAGTAGAGTAGAAGATTTTGAAAGAATTAATGCATTTTCACTAAATAACCAATAGAGCCCCGCCCTAACACCAGAACCCCAGACCCTGGGGTCACAAAATTCACAATTTTGAAAGAGGTACTCTTGCTCATCATAATTATGTGCTTGGTTACTTTATTTGATACCCAGGAGCAGAGAAGAAGATTTTCAAAGAATAAATGCATTTTCACTATATAACCAATAGAGCCCCGCCCTACCACCAGAACCCCTGACCCTGGGGTCATAAAATTCACAATTTAGGAAGAGGCACTCTTGCTCATCATCACTACATGTATGTGCTTAGTTACTTTATTTAATACCCAGAAGTAGAGAAGAAGATTTTCAAAGAATTGATGCATTTTCACTATATAACCAATAGAGCCCCACCCTAACACCAGAACCCCTGACCCTGGGGTCATAAAATTCACAATTAAAGAAGAGGCACTCTTGCTCATCATAACTATGTGCTTATTGCGTGGACCCTGCGGTCCACGCAGTAAATATATAAGCGGAGTTAAGCCGGATGCCCTGGGCAAACGACAGGCTACGCATGCGCGCGAATGCTAGAGAGTTTGCACCTTAGGTAACTTGCCCGTAGAATAATTCGTCCTATTCGGATTTAAATATGCCATTCATTGCATGGCAAATCGAGCTTTTACATCTGCATAATGCATTTACATATTTATTGGCAGATCCGATTTCCTCTCTTTTACATATACTTTTATACTAAACATTGATTTTATGGTACAAACATTTTAAGAAGTTACAGTATATAGATACATGTAACTAACAACTTGAATGAGAAACGTCACTCAACGAACAGAGATACATGTAGCTTTTAAAGCTTTTAAAGTAAGTTTTCACCGGCATTAGTTTTGTGCATCAAGACTCGCAAAATAATTTAATATTTCAGCAATCTAATTATTGTTTGATAAAGGTCTGTAGCAAGAGCTTTTAATGTATGTGTGTGTGTGTTGGGAGGGGGGGGGGTGAAGGTGGGGGCTCCGACAAAATAAAAAAACAAATCTGCGTTGTACAGAGGTGTGCTACACGTGAACCATCAGATCTCCATTTTACCCATGATAAATTCCTTCCGTATATATCCAGAACAGGTGTCAAGTCCCAGTCAATACAATGTATGTGTTACACGTGTCAAAATAACCCGATTTTTTTAAACATGTTAAAACTGACAAATAAACTTAAGATCGCTAATCGGAGATAAAATTTCACATTTGTGCTTTGAGACTACGTTCAGTTATAAGTGGCAGATAATTTTAGAATAAGCGAACAAACCTTACATGAATATTCCCTACACCTAGAAAATTTCTTAATTGAATTTCAGTTAGAAAAAACACGCATATGGTCCACGTATTGCAGTCCTTTTTTAAAGGACAGCAACTTGTTTACTTTATTTAATACCCAGAAGTAGAGAAGAAGATTTTCAAAGATTTAATGCATTTTCACTATATAACCAATAGAGCCCCGCCCTAACACCAGAACCCCTGACCCTGGGGTCATAAAATTCACAATTTACGAAGAGGCACTCCTGCTAATCATCACTATGTGCTTAGTTACTTTATTTAATACCCAGAAGTAGAGAAGAAGATTTTCAAAGAATTAATGCATTTTCACTATATAACCAATTGAGCCCCGCCCTAACACCAGAACCCCTGACCCTGGGGTCATAAAATTCACAATTTAAGAAGAGGCACTCTTGCTCATCATCAATATGTGCTTGGTTAGTTTATTTAATACCTAGGAGCAGAGAAGAAGATTTTCAAAGAAATCATGCATTTTCACTATATAATCTATGTAGCCCCGCCCTAGCACTAGAACCCCTGACCCTGGGGCCATGAATTTCACAATTTAAGTAGAGGACTCAATGCTCATTACATTCATAACAACAGTTTGCCTGCTTGATGTCCAGGAGTAAAGAAGAAGATTTTTAAAGATTGCAATAATTTTAGTGGTTTTGGCCCCACCCCTCAGGCCCCAGGGGGGCAGGGACCATGAAATTCACAATTTTTGTTCCCCTTCACCCATAGATGCTGTATACCAAATTTGGTTGAGATTGGTTAAGTGGTTTCAGAGAAGAAGCTGAAAATGTTCAAATGTTAACACACGACGCACGACACACGACGACGGACGAAAACAGATAGCAATAGGTCACCTGAGTTACTCAGGTGACCTAAAAACCAAAATGTTTTACTTCAGTATCAACATAAATTGTGTGAAACATTGTCATTAAGTCTGTATATTTGAATCCATTTTTAATTTTATCTTTCATAGTTGTACACACGGAAGAACCAGTATCTGTTGGATTACAAAAGAGAAAAAAATTGTATGAAAAAAAACATTTTGATAAATATAAAGTTGATCTCAAAACAACCTGATTTTTTGCTTATCTCTTTTCACGAAATCATGCCCATGTTTGGTCGTTTTTGATTTGTTAGATTGATTGATTGTATATTGTTTAACGTATTCATCTTGTCTAAATCTTTGAAGGAAGGCCTGCTTAAACACAGTCAAGTTGACCTTAAACTGGTCTCCAAGTGTTAAAAACCAATGTTTCACAATTTCTGTTGTGTTGAATGGGAATATGTCTAATGCCTGCTGATCGGTCAAGGCATACAGACTGACATATGACATAAATGTCATCCACCATTGAAGGGGGACGTCATGCCGTTGTAGGGTGTTAAGTGCACTGTTACCCTTGGTGGTGGTGGCTGGTATTGTTGTCTAGGTACCATGCTTGGCTGTGTTGTTGCAGTTATAACCGGTTGGACATTTGTTGACGTTGTTTGTGTTAACGTCCTTTGTGCAGTAGATTTTGGTGGTGCCGTCTGGGTTGTTGGTGGGGGAGGAGGAGGATTTGTTGGCCTTTGCTCACTTGATTCTTGTTCCAAACTGTTGAGTTCGGTGTCCTCCGTCCCTCCAGTGGCTCCAGAGTCTGCCTGAGATCTTAACTGCATCCGGTCATTGTTGCTTGGCTTCATGATGAAAGTCTTCGGATCTTGAAGGTTCTCCACCAGTAAACTTCTTAAATGAGTTTATGCTATGGTTGTTTGGGGAATTGGTACTCAAGATGGGGAATTAGCCGTTCCAATGGCTTTGCTTTGAGGGTGCAAGGGACTCTAATGGTCTTAGTGCACAAGTTGCAAATGCTGCAAATAATAAAACAAAGTCAGAATAAGGCTTGTCGATACGTATATTGTAAATCAGAGCTCGCAATGGAATGACATGTTAATATCAAACATATGACATGATATGACAAATCTTTACATTGAGACAATAATCATTAAAGGATTAACATAGCAGTTTCTGTGTCTCAATAGAAAAACAACATGTTCAATTAATTGTTTAAAATTACATAACATATGTTTTAGTTTTCATCAGAATGTCATTATTGTCCGACTATAACCAAAAATACTTTATCGGAAACCTTCTTTTTTATGAACAGAACATATTTACAGTCAATCGAACTAAATCTAAAAATAGAACTGAACACAATCAGTAACCAAGTTTCTCGGTCGAGCGATAAACAATTATCTTTAAAGTGAACAGAATTATGGTAAATCGATTACACATATAAACTTTTACCTTAAATAACATTTATTGTTAACAAATTCCATGATTTTGTACTCTCCCGAAAACGTGTGCATAAAATGAAAATATATCTTAACTTTTGTAACTTCCGGTACTGAAGAGTTCTATGGCAAAGATTTAGAAACAGCGCGAAATTCAAATACAGCAATTTAACAAAAATCAAGTTATGCCGAGAATATGATATAAAAACATCAGAATGCAATTGAAATAAAAATGTGAATATAAAGGTGAAATAAACCATAAAAATTGACACTATTTGCTATTTACAAAACAATAAAATTATCCCTGAGAGGTTCAATAAGAATATTTCTCAAATGGCAAAATTAATGTGAACAAGCATTCTGAGAGTATTACATAAGCAATACATGTCCCCTACCAGATTCCCCTTTTTCTTCAGGATGTCATTTTTTAATGTGCAAAAGTCGTGTCCAAGGTTAAACTTAAAGATTTTCAAGTTTTAAATGCCTTAAAACTAATAAAATTATCAACATTAAGACGACAATTCAACTCATTTATCCAATGTCTTTTCCTCGTTTCATATTTTTGTCGACAATGGGAAGATAGCGCAGTTCGAACCCGATATTAATTAAGCGATAATGAAAAATATTCAAAATGCCATAATTCTGTCAAAAATCAATGAAGCGAGGCGAAATTCAAACTTGATCTGTAACTCATTAAGATACACTCCCATACCACAATTCAGCTCAATATCTGCAAGCGTTTAGAAAAAAAGTGCGGAAAACCAAGTGGGACAGACTGACGGGGACAGACAGACGGACGGACGGACGCAAAGGAAACCTACAGTATAGTCCCCTCCGGTTTCACCGGTAGGGGACTAATAAAAAGAATAATGAGACTCAGAACATTTCAAATATAAGCCAATATCTTTTCAAAGTAATATGACAAAATAATATAAAAATTGTATCATACCTGCAAATAATAAAATGACCACAAAAAGGACGCGAGCGCATATACCAAATTCCGACTGACCACTGACCAGCAGGTATCCAATCAAAAAACAACATTTTGGTCATGTGATAGAAAAACTAATTTACAATCTGTTCGAGCTCTCTATTTAATGAGTGAAAGAGTCTATTTAGTCTTTGAAAAGTACTTCACAGCGAGATTATGAAATTTTTGATGTACCTTACTTAAGGAATAACTGTCTTATTTTTCGAATTCATGAAGTGATCAATGGATTGGCTTGTGTGATACTTTTATGCATAAACGCCTTCGGCGTTTATGCAAATTTTCACACAAGCCAATAATTGATCATCTTCATGAATTTCGAAAAATAAGACAGTTATTCTTTATATTTACATGCTTTGATTCCGCCAATCCACAGGCTCCATGCCTGCTTCTCTCTAGGTGTTGTCCCGCCCTGCACGTGTTTTTTTTTTTTAGAACCGCGCGACAACATTCATGAGGAAATCAATTACATTTACATTTGGTAACTTTATCTCGGACAAAGACATTGGAAATGTAAATATATGGTTTTAAATCAAATGGATGCTGGGGAGTATAGGTTCATCGGTTGGTGTTTAAATAAAGCATTGAACTCATTGTGAGGTATGTTTTCGAGACAACTGAAAAATAGAAAATCCTAATTTTCTTTCCTTTTTTTGTTTTACATACATGAAAATATGTTGGGGTTATGCATACTATTCTTTTACCAACATCGTAACATCAGTATACAGTATCTTAAGAAAAAGAAATTACCTTCACATAAAAAATGTTCACCGGTTGATGACAATTTTATTTCTTTTATTTTATATCTGCAAAAGAAGGCGTTTTGCGTTTAATACCGACACTCCCCTCGAATGATCACCTGAGGAATCTCGGTATTAGTTATAATTTCATTAATTTGACACTCTACTCTTACGACCTCTGCATTGACTGGACACATCGATACTTGGTAACAGGTGGCTATCTGATATTCCGTTTCACAGGAACAGAAAGCGTAAGGCGAACACAGTACAACCATGATAACACAGAAAAGCACAGACAAACACATTTTACACTCAAATCTACAAAATAATACGTCCGAAATGAAAAATGTATATATGCAACTTTTATCTCTGATACAATATTTTATTAAACTTGTAACAGTCACCCAGAGAAATAATTACTCAATTAGTGATGCTGACCTAAAGAGAAAAAAAACATGGAACCCACATCTTGCACTAAGTCAGACAACAATAACTTTTTTTGTCTTATTCTTTTTAATTCGCTAAAACATTGCATTTGACTTTTCAAAATGAACCTTTTTTTGACGATTCAGATCATTCATGTAATTGTATACTCATTTCCACTATTTACTCTTTATTTTTCATTCATTTCATTTTCCGAAAAAAATTAAAGAATTTTCATTGGAATTAACTTATCTCATATCCTTAGCTCCGCCCTGAAGGAATAACCGACTCATTAATTTCAATTTACTCCAATTATTATCGTCTCCAATTATTATTGTGTTGTAATCATTTTCGTAACTCTTTGTGAGGATCGGAATTGATTTCTGTTAGTGATCTTGGAAAATAAAATGGCAAGGTGAGTGAATATAACACCCCTCTTTATTTCTGATTTTTATTATCATCATTCATTATTTTTCACACATAATAAAATAAATAAAAAGATAGAAATATATCTAATTGGAAATTAGAAAAATTAAAATGATTAAATCGACTAATAGTAAACTCCCTTAAAATATTACAGCACCTGCAATTGCGAAAACGTGGAAGAAATCAAGTATTTCCTGGCTCAAGCCCGGGAAGTACTAGCTACTGTGAAGTGCCCGAGAAATTTCAGTAACGAGTTGGAGTTCTTCGGTTCCGAGTAAGTAGTGACTTTCACAATTATCCAACATCAGTAAGAGATTAAACAAAATAAATTAAGAACAAGAAATTAATTGTTAAAAAATCTTTTTCCTTCACAAGAAAGGATGACCACACTGACCAGTATACACCCTTAGATAAAAGTCCACCAGAGCTATATCTTGAACTCGTTCATTATTAAATAAAGGTATCACTAAAAATGGAAAATTCAATTGTATTCAGTTTATTTTTCAACATCGTTTTGTTTACCAGCGCTTGTCAGGAGTGCAAATACTTTGTCGGAGACTATGCCTCATGTTCGGGAGAATATGTATGTCTCTACGGGGCGAAATATGTGGAGGTCGAGTGCTGGCTAAAAAAACCCAAACGGACGTGACCATTGAACAATAATTAATAAGAGGACAATGCGAAATATAAGCCAGTACAAAGAATGTGGTCATCAGGGGGTGAAAACCATCGAAATGATCACATCTGGGAAGGTGTTGGTAGAGGAAAGGAGGGAGGTCTTAAAGAGAAAGATGAAATTTAAAAAAGAAGTAAAATATTGTTTAACAAGAGATGTTTGTAAAACACTTATGCCCCCCTCCCCCCCAAATTGGATTTTTCCTAAGTCCAAAAGTGCATAACTCTGTCTAAAATGGTGCAATCGCACCCAAAACAAAGCTTGACTTAGATATTCAGCTGAAAAATCTGTATACTAAATTTTATTTCATTATGTGCAACCTCTGCAAAGAAAATGACCGGAAACTGCAAATAATTGGAATTTTTCTAAGTCAAAGGGGCATAACTCTGACAAAAAGGTTGTGATAGAACCCAAAACAGAACTTGTCCTAGATATTCAGCTGAAACACCCGTATACTAAATTTCATTTGAATATGTGCAACCTCTGCAAAGAAAATGAATGGAAACGGCAAATAAGTGGAATTTTCATAAGTCCAAGGGGCATAACTCTATCAAAAAAGGTGTGATCAAACCCAAAATAGAACTTGACCTAGATATTCAGCTGAAACATCTGTATACTAAATTTCATTTCAATATGTGCAACCTCTGCAAAGAAAATGAACGGAAACTGCAAATAAATGGAATTTTTCTAAGTCCAAGGGGCATAACTCTGTCAAAAATGGTGTGATCGTACCCCAAACAGAACTTGACCTAGATATTTACCTGATAAACCTGTATACCAAATTTCATGTCAGTATATGCAGCGGTTGTAAAGAAAATGAACGGAAACTAAATGGACCGACAGACCGACCGACAGACCGACGGACAGCAGCAAAGCAATATGCCCTCCCTTCTTCGAAGGGGGGCATAACAAAAAATTAAAAATTAATAACGGGAACTAAAATTAAAAAATAAATAAAAAAGAATCAATACTAAAATAAATCTGGTTCAACAACAACAAAATTAATGTTTTTTATTATTGTGCAAGGATGAAAAAAGTAATAAGCACGAAAGAACGTATCATTCAAGTCCGTTTTGTATGATACTATCTTAATATGGTATATTCTAAGTTCTGTATACATATGACATCGTATAACGTACACTTACTGTAATGGAGTGTCGCGCAAACTGTCCAACAGTGCATCAAAATCTGCATCCTCACCGTTACCAAAAAATAAATAAATGTATATTTTGTAAACATTATAGTATTGTTCAAGTTCAACCATGTTAGGTTTTTACTTTAAACATTGTAAGAAGAAATAAAAATAAGTACTAATCAGGTTTTTATTTGAGTACCCTAAAATACATACTATTACATGTAAGCATTTGCCAGTCAAATTTTGGCATACAGTGAATGCATTCAGTACTTACGACGTAGATATATACTTAACAGTATAAATTCACATCGTTTGTATTGCTTATAAGACATAGTCGATTCAAAATAGTGCTATAAGAATTTAGCACACTTGCATCCACGCGTTGGAAAATAATTTTGAATGTGCATATGAGATGCTATCGATATTTTATTCGTTCCTTAGTGAACTGGTCTGTTATAGATATCGATATTTCGGTGAATCGTTTCAGCCCTAGTTATGTCAGCTTTTCCGTAGGTGACTTGCGCTTTATTGATTCATTCCAATTCATGACCAGTTCTTTGGAAACGCTGGTGAACAATTTAGCCGGTGAAGGGCTTTCACAAACATATTCAAAGACCAAGACATTGTCAAATTTTTATTAAGAAAAAATGTCTACTGTTATGATTACATAGACACATACGAGCGATTTGAAGAAACAGAGTTACCACCTAAAGAAGCGTTCTACAACCGTCTCAAAAAAGAGCACATTTCCGCGAAAGATTACAACCATGTTCAGGTAGTGTGGCAGAAATTCAACATGACAACACGTGAAGATTAACATGATCTTTACGTGTTGACCGATGTGCTTTTATTAGCCGACGTCTTTGAGCGATTCCGGGACATGACTCTCGATTATTACAAACTTGACGCTTGTCATTATTTTACATCTCCCGGACTTGCTTGGGA